GCAGTATTCCGTTGCGAAAAAAATTAGATTTAAAAAATTTTAGGTACTTTAACTAGAATTCCATCAAACATATTAACAGAAATCCCCTGGAAACCAAACATTTAAAGCTGGACAGCCAATTGGTGCCCACGGCGGCAAACCATATGCCAACAGCCTGTCAGAATTTTAGCTGGGCACTCGCACCGACAGGATAGTGAAGAGGACTTGATTTTTTGGCCGTTGCCTAGCTTTGCACTTCCCTCCATTCCGCAGCTCTTGAAGATTCTCTCTAACTAATTAGTACAGAATATTAAAAATGTGCCCAAATTGCTGTCCTTATCCTGCAATTTTAATCCCCTGTTTCGTGCATTGGGAAACTAACGGCTCTCAAAAGGCTGTAAAGTCACATATAGTAAGTCACTTCACTCAGCTTTTTTCTCTATTTAAGCTTAAATCCACGTTAACAACTTGTTTAGTTGTTTACTTTAAGAGATAATTATTACTCCCCCTCTAAGGGAAACTGCTGACATTTCTCTTGCTTTAGATCTTAGTCATTCTCACTTCAGCCAAAGTGAACGGGCCAGCTAGTAGTCGTCAATTTCCATGGTCACTTTACTATTTGGAGGACTTGTGTTTAAAGTACAGCACACAGCAGTAGCTGGAGACATTTGTTGGAGTTTTCGCGTTGGCAGACCTCGGCGATTAGCCCCTATTCAATTGCCCAAATTTGCCGCCTGCCCAGATTTGAAATTGACCTTGACCCAGATCCAAGGACACTGCAAACTTCCTGTATCGATTCTTGTCCATACAAGTCCAAGCATTGCACCCGCAGACTCTGACAATGCCGTCCATCAGACGACAACTTTCCATCAATAAGGGTCGTGATTCTATTGGTAGTATTTCGACTCTGAGTTTTCAATTGCCGGCAACACCAGATGCGATTCAACGTCAGATTCGTGGACATCTTATACTTATCCTCGAAGTTATTACCCTCATTATTATTCTGGCTGTGGTGTACGGCATTCCGACTATGCTGATCCGCCTGTACAAGTTCAACGGCACTGTCTACAACGATGCTCTGAACTACACGGAGTCATTCGAAGACAAATTCTGGATGATTCACGAGTTTCCCACCGCCATCGACGAGATGTTCACCATGCTCAATCGGTCGATCACACGCATACTTAATGAGACCGCCAGAATGGACATACTGAATGACGAAAGTGAGTACTATCAGGGCTTTCTGTTATATAGAGAAAAGTAATGAAAATAGTTTGGCCGTGAAAAGGGCTTTGATGGCACAACTGGGCAGAAGCCGAGCTGGATTGATCGTCTCAACACACCTAACGTACTCCTTTTCAAAAAAAACTGTACCATACGTTTGAAGGGAATAAGTGTTTTGCTTTACTTTTTTCAGAGCATTTATACTTTCAAATGTAAGTGCTATTGAGATAGTGATGATCACCCGGCCAAGCCGTGCTTTTTGAGCCAGCTGGCCTGTTGGCCTCCGACGAAGGAATGTAGTAGACAGGTAGTAGTTGGGTGCATGCGAGGTTCGATTTGTCACCTAACTGTTTACTTTGGGCATATAAGGATGAAGAGGGAAGTAAGACTAGATGAATTATAGGCAGGAGTTTCCTTGGTAGTGGTCTTGGATACAACAAGCCGTAGTTTGTTT